AGGTGAAAGCCAAGGTGAAATTTCCTGTGACCTTGTCTGCCCCCTTTCCCCCAGCCTACTGTTGATCAGTGGAGATGACCTGGAGTTGTTTACACTTTACTCAGACCAAATCATAGCCCCTGGAGTCTTCTTTGAGGTCCTCTCAAGATGCCTTTACCTCCTTAATTTTGGTGCTCTACATTCATTTTGTGGTGATATTCTTGAGAATGAACACTTTCTTTTTTGCCACTGTTTGTATCTCCAGGACTTAGCACTGTGCTTGTTACATATAACGTATAATGTATAATAAAAGCTAGTAGGCCGACTATACAATCTCTACTTCTTACAGTATTTACAAGGTAGACCTCCCAGATAAAGCTCCTATGTGGATTTCTCTCAAGGCTCTCATTATCTCTCTTTTTACTGTGTTGAGGCCTCCATGCTACTCTGCTTGAAAGTCTTAGCTTCTAACAGATGGTGCCCAATACCCTCTCCACCCCTTTTTTTCCAAAAAGTTAGTTTTTCTTTTCTTTTTTATGTTCATGGGTTTTTTGTCTGTTTTTTACCTATACAACATTTGTTTTGCATGACTACACAAGTATAACCTATGTCAAATTACCTTCTTCATGGGGAGGGGCACTGAGGGAGGTAGAAAATTTGGAACTCAAATTATGAAAAAAGAATGTTAAAATTGTTTTTACATATAACTGGATAAAATAAAATATTAAAATTTTTAAAACCACATTAACAAAATCCCTATTTCTAAATCCTAGGAAGCATTTAAGTGATTGGAAGAGTGTTACCTCATCCATTTCAAATACTTTCCCCAGTGCTTGTACCAAAATTGGGAGGGAAGGGAATAAGTGATGAAAATAGACCCTACTATGTGCCAGGCACTGTGCTAAGTGCTTTACTAATAGTATGTCCTTTGATTCTCATGAATCATGAGTAGTAAATGGTATTATGACACCTATTGTATAGTTGAGGAAACTGAGGCAGAGAGGGTAAATATTTTCCCAGGCTTATGCTACTGGTATCTGAGGCTGAATTTGAACTCAGGTCTTTCTGACTGCAGGCCCAGCATTTCACCCCTGCCAACATAGCTGACAAAAGATATAGGGAAAAGTCTGTGTGGCATAGTGTTTGATTGCATTCAGTAATTAACATTCTTCCATGCTTCCATATCCATGGTAAAACAAGTTAATAATTGAATTCCATTTTATATTTCTTTACAATGCATATTAGTGCATGTCTTCTTAATTGCAAATAGGCCTTCTTCAAATCCAAAACAATAATGAAAAAAAGTGAAAAATGGAAAGAGAAATAGAAAAGTCAGAAGAGATACAGAGTGAAGTGAGCAAAACCAAGAGTACAATATGTGTAATAACGACAATAATTATTTGAAGGGGAATAAAACCAAAGATCTTCTCAGCTCACTTGGATGGTGACTAATGGGGTGGGGAAATGCTGCCCACCTCTTGGCAGAGAGAAGATTGGCTAGAGGTTCAGGAGACTTAAATTGACAGTCACAGCCCACGTGTTGTTGGCTAATTGTTTTTGGCTGAGTCTACTAACAGGTTGGGCTTTTATTGGGATGGGGATGTCAGTAAGTGATGAGAAGGATGCACAGAAAACAGAAGACAAGAAAGAAAAGAGCCTTAATTATGTATGTAAAAATGGAAGAACTGAAGGAAGTTCAATAACAGACCTCAACAGATATGGCAGTTTCATTATTGTTATATTATATATACTCTTTGCAAAAAACAAATTTTGATGATAGAAGTTTACTTTCCACGAAGTAGTTTTTATTCTCAAGAACGATAAAAATGAGCATCACCACACACAGTGTGGAACATAGAGGATTGATTACGAAACTGTGAATCTCTGTTTCCCACTGCTTGCTTTAAAAAACAGGGCATGTAATTCCTAACTAGCTTTACCTCTGAGCCAGGGTTCCAACCGAGATCTCCCAAGGACTTGATCCCCTGCTGGAGGTAGATCCCATGACTACTGAGGCAGTCTTTCTCCATGCTGTGAATACTCAAGAGGTAGTCAGGAGGGTCCCCTCACTCTACTCACTTCCACACTTTGGGGTAAAGTCAGCACACAATGTCTGAGAAAAAGAGTTCTGGGCCCCAAAGTCCTATTTTCTTTAAGGACTCCAAGTCCCAAGTTATCAAAGCATCTTGGCCCTGATGAGATATGAGGTACCTTGATGTCCTTTCCCCAGATCTAAGTTCCCCTCCCCTCTGCTACAGGGAGGATTATTTTAGTCAGGGAAGTCGCAGGGATGATGAATGGATTCAGAGAGCAGCAGATCCCAGGTCCTCACTTACCTCAGCTAGGTAGGTGGCACAGTGATTAAAAACCTGGGCATAGACTGAGGAAGATGAGTTCAAATTTAGCCTCAGATACTTATTAGCTGTGTAAAGGAAGGTCATTGAACCTCTCTTTTCCTCGGTTGCATCACCTCTAAAATGCAGAAATAACAGCAACTACCTCACAGGATTGTCATTTGGCTCAAGTGAGAAAATATTTATAAAATGTTTAATATTCTACCTAGTACATAGTGGGTATTTAATAAAGATTTACTCTCTTTTACTTCCTTAAGTATCTGGTCTGATTTATAAAGTCAAAACATGCCTTCTTAAAAGTCCAAGTTGGTAGAAAACATATTGATGCCATTCAATTGGGGAAGAGCTGAACAGAATTTAAACTATGAATGAAATGGTAGGTGATATGGCCATAAAAAATAAAGAATAGAAGGATTTAGATAAATGTACACAGAATAGAAAGAGAACTACCCCTTCTGCCTCTCATGTGAAGTTTTTCTTTTTGTGTCTTAAGAATTTCATTGTGGTCATGTTTTTACAATTATGCTCAGCTTGGCATAGTAAATCATCTTTGGTTGTAAACCTCTACACTTGGCCTTTTAAAACATTGTATTCCATGATCTTCACTCACTTATGATAGAAGCTACCAGGTCTTTTGAAATCTTGATTTTAGTATCATGATTCTTGAACTCCTTTCTCTATTTTTGTAATACTTTTTCTCATATTATGGGAGCTTTATGTTTTGACCTTCACATTCCTGAGACTTTTTCTTTTGATGTTCCATTCAAAAGATCATCAGTACACTATAATCCTCATGTTGCTCTCTTTCCTTAATATTTCTCAGCAGTTTCAACTTATGATTCCATCAAAAACAGTACTCAGTCTTGGAAATGAAAATCATGAATTTCAAGGAGTCCAATGATTCTCAAATTCTTTCTTCTTTTTTTTTTAATTTTATTAATTTATTTTGATTTATCAACAATTACTTCCCCATGTTTTTGAGCTGAAAATTTTTTCCCCCTTCCTCCCCTCCACCCTTCCCAAGACGGCACACAATCTGATATAGGGTTTACATTTACATAGCCATTAAATATATTTTCACATTAGTGAAGTTGTAAGTAAAAATTAAAACCAACAGGAGGAACCACCAGAAAGATGAAACAAAACTCAACTAAAGGTAAAAATAAGTGAGAGCGATTCCACTTCCATAGTTCTTTCTTTGGATGAGGATAGTATTTTCCATCCCGAGGCCTCTGGAGATGTCTTAGATTCTTGTAATGCTGAGAAGGGTTCGGTTTAACAATCTTAGTCATTCCATAATGTGGCTGTTATTGTGTACAAAGTCCTCTTGGTTCTGCTCACTTCACTCAGCATCAGACCATATAAGTCTTTCCAGGTTTTTCTGAAGTCAGCCTGTTCATCATTTCTTATAGCACAATAGTATTCCATTACATTCATATACCACAACTTGCTCAGCCATTCCCCAGTTGATGGGCATCCTCTCAATTTCCAATTCTTTGCCACCACAAAAAGAGCTGCTATGAATAGTTTTGTACATGTGGGTCCTTTTCCCATTTGTTTGATCTCTTTGGGATATAGCCCTAGAAGTGCTATTGCTGGATCAAAGGGTATGCACATTTTTGTAGCCCTTTGGGCATAGTTCCAAATTGTTCTCCAAAATAGTTGGATCATTTCACAACTCCACCAACAATGCATTAGTGTTCCAATTTTCACACATTTTCTCCAACATTTATCATTTTCCTGTTTTGTCATGTTGGCCCATCTGATAGGTGTGATGTGGTACCTCAGAGTTGTTTTGATTTGCATTTCTCTAATCAATAATGATTTAGAGCACTTTTTCATATGACTATAGATGGCAAATTCTTTCTTCTTGATCTGTTACAGGTCAATTTCTTTTTAAATCAGATTTTTTACATTTCCTTTTATTTCAAAATCTTTTGATTTCATTTTGATAGCTTTTGCTGACTTGTGGAGTAATTGAATTCTATTTGGTCAGTTCTAATTTATAAGAATCTAGTACCTCCAAGAAAATTTCAGGAGGAATGCAGGTAAACGAGATGGATGTGGAATGCCTTATTGATATACACAGCCAAATGCAGCATAAGACAGGATAGCCATTCAATTAGGTTCAGAGTGGAATATGGCTTCCTTTGCCTCCCCCCACCACATCCCATGGGAAAATGATAAGTAAGATTCTGTCTCTCATGGAAGAGCTTCACAATTTTGTTCTTAAGCAAACCCCCTCCCTCTTCTGCTGTTTTTCCCTTTTTGAGCCATCCATCTTTCTTCTGAACCCCTTAAAATCTACTGACCTCAACTGTTGACTAAATATAGGACTAAGCCCAGACTCCATCTCCTTACTTTAGGCAGAAGTGGTCATTTCTCCTCTCTATTTCATTATTTCCTCCCTAGCACGCAATTCCTCTAAGAGAGAATTAAATACAGGAGAGTGTGTCCACTTATTGGTTTCTCTATATTTTGGAAGATGAAGGTATCTCTATAGAAAATGAAGGAGTCCTTGGAACTTGAAACATTGCTGTGAATCATTTGCATAACTTTTCTAACCCTGTCTTGGGAAATTTCCCAGGAATTCAGAGTTCATGGTTCTTTTGTTCCTCTTACAATATCAATGTTGCATCACCAGCATCTGTTGCTATAAAACATTATGCTTTCTCCCAGTACAGATTGGATGAAGACAAGTACTGTCAGAGATTGAACCACCCTTGACAAGGAGTTGAGGACAGAAGACTGAGCAGGTAGAATTCAGGTGAGACTACAAAGAAGAAAGTTCAGAAACTTCAAACCTGATCCTACAAAGACATGTCATCAGAATACACAAAGTTTGAAGGGATCTTGTTCCCAAAGTGTTTTACTATGAAGAACCTCAAAGTTTCTCGGGACGAGTTTGTGGTGAAGGATACTGATGTCGTTGTTGTAACCTACCCCAAGTCAGGTAAGAAACAAGAATGGGTCCACGCGGAGGTGTTTTCGGAGAAAAACTCATAATAGCTGCACTGCAATGTTAATCAAGGTTGCAGAATGTTAGAGTTGGAAGGGATTTCGGAGACTATTTCTCCTAAGTGATCAATTTTTTCCCCAAGTGATCAATTTTAAGAAAGAAGTAAATAAGTGTAGAGAGAGCAGAATGACACTCAATTTAACAAGCATTCATGAAGAACCAGCCACATTCCAGGTGCTGTACTAGGCAGGACAATTTCAGTGAAACTTGGGAAAACTTGTGTGACTTGATACAGATTGAAGTGATCAGAACCAGGAGAATACCTTATACAATATTAAAACACAGTAAGATTAATCAATTTTGAAAGACTTAACAGATATTGAATGCGGTAACTAACCATGATCCATGAGAACCAAATATAAACTTGGCTACCCACCTCCTGTCAAAGATGATGGACTCAGGATGAAGAACAAGATATTCATTTGGGGGCAAGAACTCTAGGGGAATTTGTTTAATCTGATTTTGTGTACATGTTATAAAGTAGTTGTTTTTTTTTTTAAAGAAGGGGTTAGGGGAGGTCTGAGGGAAAAAAAGCGAATGATCATGAATTTAAAAATGGCTTTTAAAAAGAACAAATTTAAAGTAATTGGTGAATTCCATGTGACACTACACCTACCTTGTCAAAAAATCCCATTTTCCTCTTTGTTGGGATTGTTCCCCTTTTCTTTTTCACAATTAAATTCTTGAGTACCTTCCACCCTTCTTGTGCTTATTTCCTTTGAAGCAGTTTACTTCATGGGCTTAATCTTATGTCTTTTGCCTCTGAATACTGTGAAATCTGCTCTGCCAAATGTAGGGGATTGTCCAACTGTGCCCAGATTTCCTTTTCTTATAGAGAAAAAACATCTCTGTACCCTCGAATAGTCACCTCCCTCCTCCCATCATTTCTAGCAAAGCAACTAGTTCCTCCCCATTAGGGAGAATTGGATCTAGAAGAGAATTTCCCTCTCTTGCTTCTTCCAACTTTTGAAGGATGAGATGACCAAAAGGCAGTTTCATAAATTGTTAACTACTCTGCTCTTGTGAGGCAAGGAACCAAAACATATCTGAATGTCTGAAATCCCCCATCAGTACTATATTCCCCACTTGTCCCAGTCTCAGGATCTATTTCTCAACATTCTCATCTATTTCTTCTCTCTTTCCAGGGGTCTGTAAAGTATAGACTTTAGTGACAAATTGCTTTTGTTTCTCCTTCTTTGGGCCTTCTCCCAAATTCCCTCCATTATACTTCTGCCTGTCCCACCTTTGGTTCCTGCATGTCTTAATATGTGTATACCTTCCTAATATGCGATACTAGTTCATCCTCAGATTTAGCTATGCTGTTTCCCTTAAATAAGGTAGACTCATATAAAGCCATAGTATGTTTTGGATTTCCTCCCAAAAGGTGTTAAAGACATCAGCTAGGTCCATTTTGAACTCTCATATTGCGTTCCTCTAGTCCCTTCTGCTTGTTGACCAAAGTACTTTACTGATGTCTCCTCTCTTGGGTTTTGTATCCTCTGGATTTATGGCTTTCTCAGCTGCTATGCTTCTCTGATGCTACTCCTATAGAATTTAGCTTCAGGGGTACATAGAAGACATCTTTTTTTTCCTCTTCTCATCCTCTTTATCATAAAGTCTTTTTAATCAGATTCATGAGACTAGTTGTGTGTTAACCTTATAATATAGGCTGTGATGCAGAGAGTCAAATTTTATTCTTCTACTGAACGATTCATTTTGCAAATTAATTTTTCCCTTTAGAGTCTCCTACCTTTAATATACAATAACAAAGGAAGGACAGCCAGTGCTCTTATGTTCTTTACATTCTGGCCTCAGATTGTGTAATCATTGGGAATGTTGTTTAGGTTGCTTCTGGCAGAGTTGTCCAATTCCATCTGAATTATCTGCAGTGAATAGCTGTCATCAATTTGGATAAGTTTTGGGGTGTTCTCCATTGTGGTTTTGAATATGTGACTCTGGCAGGTGAAAGACCACTTTGTTCTTGCTTTCAGTTTGCCAAACAGGCTTTCTAATAACAATATTAGGAAGATAAGAACCTTCTTCTCTCACAGAGTATCGAGTTCTCTCTTCAGGAGGACACTCAAATTCATTGTATTTCTCTCTTCTTCCCTACTTCCCCTCTCTTCTCTGTCTCCCATGGAAAACTGGCTCTACACTTAGATATCACATGCAAAAGAACCTGTATTAATATACTTTATCTTTTCTGTTCTCTCCATTAGGAACCCATTGGGTTATAGAGATAGTCAGCCTGATCCGCAGTAAAGGAGACAACACCTGGGTCCAATCCATCCCTATTTGGAATCGGTCCCCATGGATAGAAACAGACCAAGGCCAGCTGTTGCTTTCCAAAAAAGAACAAAATGGACCCCGGTTTTACAGCAGTCACCTACCCATCCAGTTGTTCCCCAAATCCTATTTCCACAGCAAGGCCAAGGTGAGCAAATGAGAACTCCACTCAGTGAGGTGGATACTGGTATGACAATATTATGCTAGCAGAAGGCTAAAAAGTGCATTTCTGATCTGCATCTTTCAAGGACTGAGAGGAAATGGAGGCAACATCAGACAAAGAAGCAGAAGCATTTTTGTCCCCCTCCCTCTTCCCTATGACATGCCAACACAACATTTTTAATATTAATATTTGGTTCTTTACTTTATTCCTCTCTGTAGCTCCTCAGTGCTTATGGGTTAAAGTATAGGATCATATTGTTGCCTCCAAAGTCATCTACAATCTGCCTTCAAGCCTTGAATGTACATTAACTCTCTCTACTCACTATCATTCATTAATTCAACATTCCAGACGTCAGTTCAAATGGCTTTCCAGAATGGCTTGACCAATTCATCGTTCCATCAACAATACAATAAGGTGCCTGTTTTCCTAGATCCCTCTAACATTTTTAACCTTCTAGGAAAATTAAACCAACTCCAGTTTATTCTTATATATTTTGTATGTTCATTGCTAGTGTCTTTTTAAATTTTCTTTAATTGCCTTTTTGATAGAAAAAAAAGCAAGAAAAAGAAAGTGAAAAAAGGTGCTTCAATCAGCATTCAGATTCCATCAATTATTTCCATAGATTTGGATAGCGATTTTCATCCTAAATCCTTGGACATTGTCTGGGATCAATGTATTGATTGGAATACAGCTAAGTTATTCACAGTTGCCGTGGTACAATGTTGCTGTTACTGTATAAAATGTTCTCCTGGTTCTATATACTTCACTTTGAATCAGTTCATATAACTTTCAAAAGATTTGTCTGAAACTATTCTGCTCATCATTTCTTATGGCTCAATAGTATTCTATCACATTCATCTACTACAGTTTGTTCAGTCATTCCCAAATTGATAGGCATCCTCTTAACTTCCATATCTTTGACCCTACAAAAAGAGCTGCTCTAATTATTTTTGTACTTAAAGGTCATTTTCTTTTTTATTTGATCTCTTTGGGATACAGACCTAGTAGTGGTATTGGGGTATCAAATGCACAATTTTGTTACCCTTTGGGCATTATTTTAATTCGCTTTCCAAAATGGTTGGATCCATACACAACTCCAATAGTATATTACTGCATCAATTTTTCCACATCTTCTGAAACATTTGTTATTTTTCTTTTCTGTCATATGTCCTAACCTGAGGTGTGAAATAGTACCTCAGTTCTTTTATTTGCATTTTTTAATCAATAATGATTTACAGCCTTTTTGTATGATTATTTATTGTTTTGATTTCTCCTCATGAAAACTGCTTGTTCCTATCCTTTGAATATTTGTCACCTGGGGAATGATTTGTATTCTTCTAAAATTTATTTAGTTTTTTATATATTCAAGAAGTGAGGATCTCTTTTGAGAAATAATGTAAAATTTTCCCCATTTTCTTCTGTTCTGTCTGATATTGGCTGTATTGGTTTGGTTTGTGTAAAATATTTTTTAATTTCATGTAATCAAAATTTTCCATTTTTTAACTATATTGCTCTCCAACCCTTGTCTGGTCATAAATTCTTCCCTTATCCATTCATCCAATAGGGAAAAATTTCCATGCTTATCTAATTTGCTTAAGTCTAAATTTCATACTCATTTTGACCTTATCTTGGGATACAGTGTGCAATGTTCATCTGTACCTTGTTTCTGCAGAATGCTTTGTAGTGTTTTCCACTAATTTTGGTCAAAAATGAGTTTTCTCACAAACTTGGATCTTTGTGTTTATCCAAGACCAGATTACTATGGCCATTTATTATTATGTACCAAATCTATTACACTGATGCTACATTTTGTTGTGATCCACAGTCAAAGAGTTTACTGTAGAAAAGAAAGCAGAAGGGGCAGCTAGGTGGCACAGTGGATAGATCACTGGCTCTGAAGTCAGGAGGACCTGAGTTCAAATCCAGCCTCAGACCAAACACTTGGCACGTACTTGCTGTGTGACCCTGGGCAAGTCACTTAACCCCAATTGCCTTAAAGAAAGAAAAAAAAGCTGAAGTGGGTGTTTTTCTGGAAGTCGTTTGCTTTCTCTGCAATCCACTGAATGTTAGTAATTTGCTCTCAAGTTCTTCTGTCTCTTTGAAAATCAGCCTGCTCTTCTAGTAATTTTTGGTTTACATATTGCTGAAGCCTAGCTTGCAGAGTCTTATGCATATCTTTTGTGGCATGTAAAATGAGCACTTTTTTTAAAAAGTAGTCAAGCAGAGATAAGTTTATTACTAATTATGAGAAGCTTGACATGCTCCAACTCCTCATAAAATAAATGAAGTCCATTTTTTTTTTGCACCAAATCAAGCCTTTATTATACGCCAACTCTGTGTCACATACAGGACATGGGGATGGGGATATAGACTGGATCTGTAACTTAGAGAACAGGAAACTTCCTCTACCAAGGCAGATCAGCACCTTCTTTGCAACTTAACAATTTTTAGAGTTGTTGATTTGAAAATAGACCCTTCATGCAAGATATTTAAATGCATGTATGTAACCTGAAATTTCTAGAGATGTGTGGCATGGTTTAATGGACAGAATACTGGATCTAGAGTCAAGAATGCCCGCCTTTAGCCCTCTGTAGCTCTGGGATTATGGGCAAGTTAAGTTATTCTATTCTTTATTTTTTTTAATTTTTTTCTTTTTTTTTCACTTTTCTTTTTTTTTTCCATATGCTTTTGAGATGAAAATTTTTCTCCCCCTTCCTCACCTCCACCCTCCCCAAGATGGCACACAATCTGACATAGGCTTTACATTTACATGCCCATTAAACATATTTTCACATTAGTGAAGTTGTAAGTAAAAACTAAAACCAATAGGAGGAACCATCAGAAAGATGAAACAAAACTCAACTGAAGGTAAAATTAAGTGAGAGCGATTCGACTTCCATAGTTCTTTCTTTGGATGTGGACAGCATTTTCCATTCCGAGGCCTCTGGAGATGTCTTAGATCCTTGTAATGCTGAGGAGGGTTCAGTTTAACATTCTTAGTCATTGCATAACGTGGCTGCTATTGCATACAAAGTCTTCTTGGTTCTGCTCACTTCACTCAGCATCAGACCATATAAGTCTTCCCAGGTTTTTCTGAAGTCAGCCTGTTCATCATTTCTTATAGCACAATAGTATTCCATTACATTCATATACCACAACTTGCTCAGCCATTCCCCAGTTGATGGGCATCCTCTCAATTTCCAATTCTTTGCCACCACAAAAAGAGCTGCTATGAATAGTTTTGTACATGTGGGTCCTTTTCCCATTTGTTTGATCTCTTTGGGATATAGCCCTAGAAGTGCTATTGCTGGATCAAAGGGTCTGCACATTTTTGTAGCCCTTTGGGCATAGTTCCAAATTGTTCTCCAAAATAGTTGGATCATTTCACAACTCCACCAACAATGTATTAGTGTTCCAATTTTCCCACATCTTCTCCAACATTTATCATTTTCCTGTTTTGTCATGTTGGCCCATCTGATAGGTGTGATGTGGTACCTCAGAGTTGTTTTAATGTACATTTCTCTAATCAATAATGATTTAGAGCACTTTTTCATATGACTATAGATGGCTTTAATTTCTTCATCTGAGAACTGCCTGTTCATATCCTTTGACCATTTATCAATTGGGGAATGGTTAAATGAGCACTTTTTATGACAATTAAAACATTCCATGGCATTACTTATCTTTTGGATGGGATGTAAACTGATCTTTTCCAATACATTACCAGTCATGTATTGAGTTTTCAAAATTCACTGACATAGTGAGTGCAAAGAGAAAGAAAAACAAATGGGAAAATAGGATGCAGGGTAACACACAATAATCCTAAGTGTGAAAAAAATTCATGACAGGTTTCTGACAAAGGCCACATTTCTCAAAAACATAGAGAACTAAGTTAAATTTATAAGAATGTAAGCCATTCCCTAACTGACCAATAGGTAAAGGATACAAACAGCTAGTGATCAGATAAAATAATCAAAGTTAAGTGTGCTCAAGAAAAAATGCTCTAAATCACTATTGAACAGAGAAATGTAAATTAAAACAACTATGAGGTACCACTCCACACCTATCAGATTGGCCAATATGATAGAAAAGGAAAATGACAAATGTTGGAGGGGATATGGGGAAAATTGAGACATAATGGTGTCTCAATGTAGCTGGGCTGATTCAAATATACTGGAGAGCAATTTACAGCTCTACCCAAAGGACAATAAAGCTGGGCATACCATTTGACCTAGTAATACCACTACTAGGTTTCAAAGAGATAAAAAAGGAAAAGAACTTATACATACCAAAAGATTTACAGGAGCTCTTTTGTGGTGACAAATAATTGGAAATTTAGGGGATGCCCATTAACTGGGGGATGGTTGAACAAGTTGGGATATGTGATTGTGATGGAACACTATTGTGGTATAAGAAATAATGAGCAGGATGCTCTCAGAAAAAAAAAAAAAACAGAAAGATTTGCCTGAACAGTTCCAAGGTGAGATGAGCAGAATCGGGGGAACATTTTAGATAGCAACAGCCGTATTTTATGATGACCAAGCTTGAATGACATAGTTATTCTCTGAAATACAATAAAACAAGACAATTCCTGAGGACTTAGTGATGAAAAATACTATCCATCTCCAGGGAAAGAACTGATGGAGTCTGAATGAGGATGGAAGCATATCTTCTTACACTTTCTTAATTTATTTTTTTGTTTTGGTTTGTATTTTCTTTTACATCATGAGTAATATGGAACTATGTTTGACATATCTGCACATGTAAAACCCATGTCAAACTATTTGCTTTCTCAAGGACAGGGAGAGAAATGAGAGAGGTAAAGTGTTTGTAATCCCAAATTTAAAAAGAAATGAATGTTCAAAATTATTTTAACATGTACTTATGGGAAAAAACTTTTAAAAAGGTGCTTTCAGGCAGAAAGAGCTTGGTTCCAGCTCTTGAACTTCAGTCATGTGACCAAGAGTATGGTTCTACCTTTATTTAACTGCATTTATGGACTGCCTTTTTCTTTTTAGATATCATACCTAAATAGAAATGGGAATTGAAAGAGGGAAGTGACTTAATCATTCACATTAACCTTTTTTTATTAATCTGATCAAGGATTTTCATACCTCATAAAGAAACATAAGGGGAGAAACCATCTTATTTATACATTTGTTTATACATAATCCATTGAATGATTCAATTGAGATTTCTGGTCCATTAGTGATTGTGCGAATTGGAGTGAGGCTAATTCCAGCCTTATACTGCTACAAGGAAGTATTCATGTTTATTGCTGTTTGTCAAATTCATAACGAGAGAAAGGAAATTTTAAATGTGAAACAGAGATAAGTTCTGTAGTTAAAGACTAGCCAAAGGCTGAAGGATTCAATTTCTGGGACAATGTTAAACCCAACACCAAATGTATGAGCCTAAGTTGTTACAAGAATAGTCACCAATTCCTATAGAAAAGAAAGAGACTAGGAGAAATAAGAAAAGGATTTGTAGAGCCAGGAAGCCAGGAGAAAAAAAGGTGCTATAGAGGGGTCACAGTAAAAAATAAGTGGATAAGAAAGAAAGACCAGTGGGTAGGCAAGATGAGGTCATTGGCCACCTCATTAGGAGAAGGAAAGTTGGTACCAGAGAAATAATTTAATGTAGGCTACTGCACTAGGACATGGGTTAGGAACGTGTATATGAGAAGTGGAGACAGAGACTGTAGAGTTCCTAGTGGAAAAGACTAGTCATGACCAGAAAGAAGGTGTTAAGTAAGTAGCTAAAAAGAGCCAAATTGGAGTTTTTAAAAAATGGGTGGTATGGGAAGGTCCAACGGTCTGGGCAGCCTATAATAATCCTGATTTCTATTTCAGATAATTTATGTCATACGGAATCCTAAAGACGTGATGGTTTCTTTTTATCATTTCACAAAACTGTGTAAATTCTATGAGACGGCAGAAAGTTTTTCCCAGGCGTTTGAGAAGTTCACTCAAGGAACTGGTGAGCAGACCAAGAATTAGAATCTCTTTATCTTTGCAATAAAAGCCACTTCTACTTCTGGAGGGATATTGTGAAGACAACACATGAAGAAGACAACTGCAATACTAGCCCCATGTTGTAGATGGGTCAATAGACACAGAGGCTCATTTCTCCCTTTTTAAGTTGTTACAGTCTCCTCTGTATGGATCTCATTTATTTCCCCATCACACTCTACCTCATATTACACTTCTATGTTTGCCCCTGATGCATTCCCCCAGCCAGAGGTAGTCTGGCATTTCCTCCCATTCTTTGCATCTAAGGATTTTTATGCCAGGATCACTAGGGCTATGGAGCCCCTAAATTGGAGATGACCGGTCTAGAACATACTTCAGCCACAACCTTGGCTGAAAAATCATAGCCCATGTCGTTTAAAGCTGAAAGGTTTCCAGAAATTCAAAGAGTCAATTCACTTAACTTTTTTTTTAAAAAAGTACAGTCCGGAGAAGAGAGGGACTTAGAACCACAGAATATCAGATTGGGAGGGACCTTCATGTACAACTCACTCATTTTTCATATGGGGAAACCATGGTACACAGATAGGAAGAAATATTCCAAATGTGACAAGCATTTTTAAGTGCTTGCTGTGTCCCAGGCACTGTACTAAGCACTGGAAATACTAAGAAAGGCAAAAAAAAAAAAAAGAATAATCCTTGTTTTCAAGAATCTTACAGTCTAATGGGGGAGATAAGATGCAAATACCTATGTACAAACAAACTATAGACGAGCTAAATGGGAGATGATCGACAGACAGAAGGCACTGTCTCCTTAAGGAAAATCAGGAAAGACTTCTTGTAGAAAGTGGGATTGTAGCTGGGACCTCATGGAAGGCAGGACATCCAGGAGGCAGGGCTCAGGAGGGAGAGAATTTCAAGCCTTGGGGACAGAGTCTAAAAATGCATGGAATAGGGCAATGGAGGGTCTAGTCTGAGGAACAGCAAGGAGGCCAGTGTCATTGGGTCACAGAATCTGTGGGTGGAAGTAAGCAGCAAAGAAACTGGGAAGGTAAGAAGGTGCCAAGTTATGAGGTTAAACAGATGATTTATGTTTGATCCTAGAGGAAATCATAAGGGGTCCTTGGAGTTGAATGGGGTAATGTTGGGTAGAATGATGTGCTGTGGAAAACTCGACCGGATAAGACTTCTGCTTTAAAATACACCATTTGGAGTTTGGAGGGGGCAGAGTAAAAGCAGTGACTTGCTTGAGCTCTCCCCTAAACCCCTGCAGATAACTGTAAAAATAGCTCTAAACAAACTCTAAAGCTGCAGAACCCACAAAAATAAAGAGTGAAACATTTCCAGCCAAGACAATCTGGATGGTTGATCAGAAAGGTATATTGCGCCAGGCTGGGAGAGTAACGCAGTTCGACGTGGGAGCACAGGTCTCAGCAAACCTGGAGCAGACATCAGAGGACTGACACACGGGCAGCTATTGTGATTTCCAGACTTCTCATTCCATGAATGCCAAAGACAACTCAGAAGGTCAGTGGGAAAAGTCTGTGTCTGCAGTGAGAGAGAAGTGTGATCCCAGCCCCTGTACCTAAGCGAGGCCTTGGGGCAATGGCTGCCCCAGGAGCTTCTGGACCACAGACTGAGGAAGAATTGAGTGGTTGATCAGATTTGGATTACAAGGATCTCTTTGCTGGTGCTAGATTCTCTTGCTTTGCCTGTGCTTGGATCTGGATCACAGTTTTAGATGGTGGTCCTGTGGTGAGGAGGAGCACTGCTGTGGTGGAGCTTGTAGTGGTGGTGAAGAGAAAATCCTCCTCACAGTTCCAAGGAAGAAAAGAGTACTTGTGGTCACCCACAGACCAAAGCACAGGCCAGGAAAGGAGTAAACACCTCACCCCTCATCATACCACCTTGGAAGAACTGAAAAGTTACAGGTCCCTAGAAGTATCCCTGAAAACAGCTGCACAAGACCCCCAAAGTTTGAGACAGTACATTCTCCACACTAGAAGCAGACCTCTACCTTAACAAAGAGTTTATAACTCAAGTAATTGTCCTGGATCATAAGCAAGCAGCACAAAAAGAATTAGACCACAGAATCTTACTTTGGTGACAAAGAAGATCAAAACATACAAGCAGAAAGAGACAACAAAGTCAAAGCTCCTGCATCCAAAGCTTCCAAGAAAAATAAGAAAAGATCCCAAGCCTTGGAAGAGCTCAAAAAAGATTTTGAGAAGCAAGTAAGAGAAGTAGAGGAAAAACTGAGAGTGATGCAACAAAATTCTGAAAAACAAGTTAACAGCTTGCTAAAGGAGACCCAACAAAATACTGAAGAAAATAACACCATAAAAAACAGCCTAACCCAAATGGCAAAAGAGGGCCAAAAAGCCAATGAGGTGAAGAATGTCTTAAAAAAAAATTGGCCAAATGTAAAAGGAAGTCCAAAAGATTGCTGAAGAAAATGCTTCCTTAAAAATTAGAATGGTGCAGTTGGAAATTAGTAACTTTATGATAAATCAAGACACTGTAAAACAAATCCAAAAGAATGAAAAAATAGAAAACAATGTGAAGTATCTCATTGGAAAAATAACTGACCTGGAAAATAGATGCAAGAGAGATTATTCAAAAATTATTGGACTATCTGAAAGTCATGATAAAAAAAAAGAGTCTAGATATCATCTTTCAAGAAATTATCAAGGAAAACTGCCCTGATATTTTGGAACCAGATGGTAGAATAGAAATTGAAAGAATCCACTGATCACCTCCTGAAACAGATCCCTAAGGAAAACTCCTAGGAATATTGTGGCCAAATTCCAGTGTTCCCAGGTCAAGGAGAAAATATTGAAGCAGCCAGCAAGAAACAATTCAAGTATTGTGGAAACACAATCAGGATAACACAAGATTTAGCAGCTTCTACATGAAGGGATCACAGGACTTGGAATATAATGTTCCAGGAGGGCAAAGGAGATAGAATTACAATCAAGAATCACCTACCCAGCAAAACTGAGCATGATCTCTCAGGGGAAAAAATGAGTATTCAGTGAAATAGAGGACTTTCAAGCTTTCTTGATGAAAAGACCAGAGCTGAATACAAAATTTGCCTTTCCGATAAAGACTCAAGAGAAACATGAAGAGTTAAACAGGAAAGGGAAATCATAAGGGACTTATTAAGGTTGAACTGTTTACATTCTGAATGGAAAGATGATATTTGTAACCCATGAGTCCTTTGTCATTATAAGAGTAGTGGGAGAGTAAAAATGATGTCCAAGTGCAGATGGATAGATAGATAGATAGATAGATAGATAGATAGATAGATAGATAGATAGGGGGCACAGAGTGAGTTGAAAATGAAGGAGTGATATCTGGAGCATAAAATAAAAGGGTGAATGAAGATTATATGGAGAGAAGGAGTAAGGGAAAGGTAGAATGGGGTAAATTATCTCACGTAAAATAAATAAGAAATCCTTTTACAGTGGAAAGGAAATGGGGTTGGTCAGGGGGAATTATTGGATCTTATTCTCATCGGATTTGTCTTAAGGAGATAATAACTTACACACTCAATTGGGTATGGAAATCTATCTTACCCTACAGGAAAATAGGTGGGGAAGGTGACAAGAGAGCAGGAGGATGATATAGAGGAGGGTAGTTTGGGGCAGGGAGTAATCAGAAGCAAACAGTTCTAAGGAGGGTCACAGTGAAAAGAGAGAATAGAATAATTAGGGAGCAGCAGAGCATTAAGGGAAACATACTTAGTTTTTCACAACATCACTGCTATGGAAGTGTTTTGCATGACTATACATGTATAACCTGTATTGACTTGCTTGCCTTTCTCAATGAGAATAAGTGGGGAGGGAAGAAGGGAGAAAATTTGGAGCCCAAAGTTTTAAAAACAAAACTGAAAAAATTTTTCTCATGCAACTGGGAAATAAGATAAATGGGACATGGTGTATAGGAATCTATCCTGCCCTATGGGAATATTGAAGGGGAAGGGGATAAGAGAAGTGGTGGGGACAGATAGAAGGGAGGGCAGATTAGGAAAGGGGGTATTCAGAATGCATGCTATCTAGAGATGGGGGGAGGGATGAGATGCGAAGAAAATTTGAAACTCAAAATCTTGTGGAAGTGAATGTTGAAAATTAAAAATAAATTAATTAAGTTTTTAAAAAGAGCTGCTTGATAGCTTTTCTATGTTTGTTGCCTTCCCCAAGACACTTCAGTGTAGCAGAACTGGGGAACCAGTCCCATGTCTCATGACTCTTCAATCCAGTGACCTTTCTCCTAAAAAAATGGCAAACTTCAAGTTCTAACCCCTGTTGTAGACATCAAAAGTCTCCTCCTCCAGGAAACTTTCAATGATGCTCTCTCTCTTAAGTAATTTTGATTACTTACTTAATGTGATCTTCCAAATTTCTAAATCCGTGGCTTTGTTGTGGAAATTCTTGAATTCTTTTTCATTGTAGTTACATATCTCATCACTCAGTCCTTCCCCCATTTCCAACCCACATCTATGAGGCTAGGGTCTTCCTTATTTTTCTTTACATTTTCCCTAATTTAACATGACACATAAAATGTCTACTGTAGTCATGTATATGCAATTTATTACCTCTGAAAACTTGGGCAAATCATTTACCTACCTGTCTCTCAGTTCCTAATCTATATAACATGGCTACACTGTATGGCTTTAGAGATCCTTTTCAACTCTAGAGATATGTTCTCATCTTTTTCTTTTGTCACAAATACCTTATCAGTGCCAGCCTCAAGCAAAACCTTGTGTGTGAGTAGACCCTGAGTCAATATTTTGTGATTGAATGAGGTATTATTGAATGTGTAAATGAAGGAACATGTATGGTCAAAGGGCCTCTCTTTTATTCTCCTTGCAGTGCCATTTGGATCCTGGTTTGACCACACCCGTGGCTGGCTACCCTTGAGAGAGAAAGAAAACTTCCTAATTTTGACCTATGAGGAACTTCTGCAAGTAAATGCTCAATCTTCCCTTTCTTTCTCCTCATCTTCATCTTTCCTTCCCCTTATCTTTAATTTCCCTTACCCTTCTTATCTTTTTACTTCTACTGTTCCCTTCAGTTGGTCTGTCCACACTCCTTAGACCCTGCACTCTTCTTTTAACATCTATCCTGTCTTTTGTGTCTGTCTCACTTCCCTGATGTACCTTTGACTTGTAAAACAGAAGAGCAGAGACACTTTTGGTAGGTACTGTAGGTACAATTTGGGTTTTCTATAGGTCCAATGAATTGGAAGAAAGGAGGTAAAATATTTTTCCTTTTGACTATAAGTACATAAATATAAAATACTTTAAAAAGTAGCAATTAACATGCAGACTAATGAGAAGCAGAAATATTATAGTTAATTTTTTAAATTTCATACCAGAGTGAGTTTTAAAGAGATTTGATCACCTAGGTACATTTTGATAGCTTTCTCATTAACAACAAACTTTTTTCAATCAAAGAAAAGACTGAGTCAATTGTTTTCAGATTTAGTAGAACCAATTCATTTAGGACTTCTCTTGAAGACAGGCCTTCCTGGTGTTGACAAACATGCCTAAAAAGTACATTTATTAGTTCTTGGTAGCTTCTCCTCTTGGGGTGAGGAATTGCCAATTCCCTCTCCCTAAGCTTTTAGTCATTGTTGCAGGTAGGTTTACCTAATATTCCCATCATATCTCATTAGTAAAAACCTTTCTTCCTCTCCTGGACATGCTTTCCTTTCTTTCTGGACCTGCTCCTCTTTCATATTTTCTACATTTTCTCCATGTTCTTTTCCTCTTTTCTTTTGAAATTCTGATTCCCTCTCCTTCCTTTCCCCCTTCTTTCTTCTTTTCTGAAGTCCTTTTATTCAACCATAATCTCCTATCTTAGCATCTCTCCCCATGCCTCACTCCTAAAACTATCCTCTTCCTTTTCTGTGACCTTAACTCTTTCCACCTATAAGAACTCTCTCAGGGCTTCACTTTTGATCTAATTTGTATTTCTCCTCTTTCATATCTTCAATTTATCATAACCAGTTGACATTAGATTGTCTTCTGTTTTCAAATCCCATGAGCCTTTGTCCTGTTATCATGTATATGTTGCCAAACACAATTTCATTCCTATCATTTGCCTCCTACAAATTCATGGTATCTACTCTCAACTAGTCTCTTACTACGGCATCACAATTCTTTTATTCTTCTGTAACTGATTCTTTATTGGCACTCCTCACAGTGACTTCTCTCATCATTCTTCCCATACCATTAATCCCTCATTCTCTCATCAAGAGACATGGCCTTCTACTTTACTGGAAAAGTGCAAGCCATTTGCCATGAACTCTCCCTTTTTCCTTCCCCTATAACTCAAAAATCCCTTGATAACTTCCCCTTTTTACTTTATTCTGAGATAAAGAGGTGGCATTGCTTCTTACCATGTACTACCTCACTTGTGCCTTTGGTCTCATCCTCTTCATCAGATACCAGCTCTCATCTCAAATCTCCCTACCTACTGATTCATTCTTTGCTTCTTACACTTAATCAGTCATTTAACCCTGTCTCAGTCTCCTCATTTCTAAAATAAGCTGGAGAAGGAAATGCCAAACCACTCCAGTATCTTTGTTAAGAAAACCCCAACAGGGTCATGAAGAGTAAGACACAACTGGACCACTTGACCAAACAGCAGTGCTTCCCACAAAAACTGCCATGGATTTTTCACTAGCAAAAACAAATGACTTCATCCTACCATGTAATTATTGAAATTCATGCTAAGTCAGTATGAGTGACCCCTTGCTTTGCAATCTTGCTCACCTTTAGGAGCATGTGCCTTCCAGAACTTCCAAAATGGCTGTGAGTTACCCTTTCTTTCCATTGCTTTATCTCTAATCACATTTCCCTACGATGTGATAATAAGGGAGAAGCTATGATTAAGCTATCTCAATCTATTTTAAGAATAAATATGCCTATCAGGAATATCTTTCCCTTATTTTGAAATTGGTCTGGTAGGGCAGGAGGGGTAGTTGGTGGTTTTGAAATTCAGTGCCCAGAAGCACTCAAGATTCTCCCCTTGATGTACTGAAATCATTTTAATTTTTTTTCCTGAGTTTACGTCATTATTGAAAACAAGTCCTGGACTCAGATTTTCTTTTAACGTCCTCACATGTCTACCTATAGCTCTTCTCTTTCTCAGTCAGGCTCATAAAAAAGTTGTCTAATCTTGTTTCTTCCTTTTCTCCTACCATCATGCAGAAGTCTCTCTCATAAAGCAGACCCTTCCTGCTCTCCACAGCAGGTAATGTGTCCTCTTTAAAATTACTGTTTTTGTACATAATTTGCAAACTGAAATGTCTATACAATGTCATTCTAGTGCCCCTCAGCATATACATTTGTTGATATCAAGGACTATTTTTTTTCCCCATTTTATTCCTGGTGTTGAATGCAACAGGTGCTTCATTGCTTCCTTTTTTTCCTTCCTCCAACTCTTCTTAGCTCTTCTTTCTCCTCCTCTTCAGCTCCCCTTCATCTTCCTTTCCTTCTTCTCATCCTTACATGCCAATAGCCTCAAGTCCTCTTCTTCCTTTCTCCCTTTCCTTCTAATTCAAGTTCTTATTCTTCTTCCTCTCCTATTCCTTTATGTTTCATGGGCTCTTCCTCCTCTTCCCTTTTCCCTGTTCTCACCCCTCTCATTGCCTTCTTATCCCCTGAATCTTCCTCATTTTGATTCTTCCCTGTTAATTGTTGGATTTTCCAATCAATTCTTTCTCTTATACTGAGATGCCTTTCCACAGGATCTTCGGGGAAATGTGGATAAGATCTGTCACTTCCTGGGAACAACGTTGACAGAAGAAGAAATCAACTTAGTGATAAAGAATTCTTCCTTCTCTGCCATGAAAGCCAACAATATGTGCAACCATTCGATCCTGTCTGATGAGTGGATAGATAACAGCCAAGGAAACATGCTAAGAAAGGGTGAGTAGGAGCCCTAGAGATAAAGGAGCAAAATTGGTGGGCATCTTTCCAGAGTTATACTGACCCCAGCAAGCCAGAGAAGAGGGTCTCTGTCTAATACTGAAGGATGAGAGAAAAAGTGATCAAAGTGGTCCTTATATCTAGAGCAAGTATCAGAGAACACAATAATCCACCCATGTATAGGAGGAAGGGTAATACAGGAACCTATCATATATTTACTCTTTCAAGGAAGACCTGCCCAAAAGTCTGATGTGAGCACCCCATGTGTCACTGCTTTCTGAGTATTTACTCTGGTTGGATGCAGGCATGTATATAATATACATAACTTGTGACAGGCTGAAAATGAAATGGCCTCTAGTCACATAATTCTCAGTCCCTGAAAACCCAAAGTGTGCCACCTTCCTTCACTTTTGTCCTGAACTCCTGGGTGGTACCTAATAGATCTAGGACAGTCTCTCAATTGGGTTTTACACATCTGGGGAAATGTCCTGAAACCAGCAGTTGTTAGCTGACCTCATTTCCATCCATCTTTCTTGTCTTAAACTTTTTCAGGAAATCATCATCAGAGATGATAACTGAGAGTCTTTCCTTGCCCTGTAATCAGGCACAAGTGTCTCAATCAATTCTTCTCATTCTCGAACCACATGGCCACTTGTCAAGCAGTCAGTCTTCCCTTGATTAGCACTCTGTTTAACAGAACATGTTCCAAATATTCTATCATCTTAATATCTAGGATGGTTTTAAGGAATTGAATAAATGATTCCTGCTCATTTGACCCCAGCCTCTCCCTCAAAATTGCATATCTTTCCTACATAAGCATTCCAACATGGATGTCAGAATATTGAATTTTCAGGAAGTAGGTGAGGTCATAAACAAGATTACTGAGGAAATTTGCCAGCAAACTTCCAATTCTGTCCCTTAGTTCTTTCTACTCCTCTATTACTTCAGTTGCACATCCCAGCCAAGAGTCAAAGGGTTCTCCATTTAAAGGATGGAGAAAACTTCCTGAAGACAACTCCCTGTAGCATTCCATCTCTAGAGAGTTCTCAGTGCTGTTAACTGGCATTTTGACAGTTTACATGCAGGACGTAACTATTTTAGCTGAAAGTGAGGCATTCCTCTCCCTCTCTCTTTCTCTCTCTCTCTCTCTCTCTCTCTCTCTCTCTCTCTCTCTCTCTCTCTCTCTGGGCCAGAACACTATAGCAGACTATCTGGATGTACTGGAAGTACCCTGATTAGAACAGATGCCCAGTGAGGCTTCCTTTCTCTTTTCCTGAGAGACCTTCCTCAAACCTATTGATCATCATATAATACTGCTGTTACTTGGTGCAATATTCTCCTGATCCTGCTCATTTCACTTTGAACCAGTTCATCTGAGTCTCCCAGGCTTTTCTTCTACCACCCTGAACATCAAATCTTATAGCACAATAATATTCCATCAGATTCATTTACCACAACTTGTTGAGCCATTCCCCGACTAATGGACATCCTCTCCATTTCCAATACTTTGGCACAACAAAAAGCAACTATCAATATTTGTGTATATATAGTACCTTTTGCTCTTCCTTCAATCTCTTTGGGACACAGACCTATAGTGCATTTTTGGGTCAAAGGGTATACAGAGTTTTATAGCCCTTTCATAGTAGTCCCAAATTGCTTTCTGGAATGGTTGGATCAATTCATAATCAACAACGAAATAGTTTCTCAATTTTCTACATCCCCTTCAATAGCTGTGATTTTCCTTCTTCTTTTTTTTTAATCTAATACCTCTTGGGGGATACCCCAGAGTTACTTTAATTTGAACTTCTCTAATCAATAGTGACTTAGTGCATTTTTAATATCAATATAGATAACTTTGATTTCTTCTTCTGAAAACTGCCTGTTTATATTCTTTGAACATGTATCAACTGGAGAATAATGGATATTCACATTAATTTGACTCAGTTGCCTATACATTTGAGAAATGAGGCTATTACCAGAGAAACTTCCTATAAAATTGTGCCCCAATTTCATGCTTTCCTTCTGTTCTTGGCTGTATTGGTTTTATTTCTGCAAAACCTTGTTTTCACTTAATGTCATCAAATTCATCCATATTGCATCCTGTCATGCTGTCTGTCTCTTGTTTGCTCATAAATTCTTTCCTTCTCCATAGGTATGAGAGGTAAACTTTTCCATCTTTTTGTAATTGCCTTATGATATCACCTTCCTGTCTAAATCACATACCCATTTTGACCTTATTTTGGTATTTGGTGCAAAATGTTGGTATACACCTAGCTTCTGCCAAACTGCTTTCTAGTTTCTTTTCACCAGTTAATTTTAAATAATAAGTTTTTGTTACAAAAACTAGGATCTTTGAGTTTATCTAACACTGAATTACCATGCTCATTGACTACTGTGAATTGTGTACCTAATGTATTCCACTGATCAACCAATCTATTTCTTAGCCACAACCAGACTGTTCTCATGATTTCTACTTAGTAATACACTTTGATATCTGGTGTGGCTAGGCCACATTCCTTCACATTTCTTTTTTCAGATTCATTTCATATTCTGGATTTTTTTTTCTTCAAGAAATATTTTGTTATTATTTTTATTAGCTTTCAGGTAGTGCAATAATTCAATTATCTCTCCTTCATCTGTTTTCTAGATAAGTTGTTTCTCCAATGAGAAATTTCATCTTTTTGCTAGTTTTTTCAATTTTATTTTGATTCATGAATACTCACTTCCATATATTTTTGAGTTTAAAATTTTTCTCCCCTTTCCTCCCCACCCTTCCCAAGACAGTACACAATCTGATGTAGGCTATACATTTACATTCCTGTTAAACATATTTTCACATTAGTGGTGTTGTAACTAAAAATTAAAACCAGTAGGAGGAACCATGAGAAAGAGGAAACAAAACTCAGCAGAAGAGAAAAAAAATAGCACTTCAACTTTCATACTTCTTTCTTTGGATGTGGATAGCATTTTCTATCACGAGGCCTCTGGAGATGGCTTAGATCCTTGTATTGCTGGGAAGGCTTAACTTTATCAATATTAGTCATCACACAACATGGCTGTTATGGTGTTATCTTTCTAGTTATTTTTATTCTTTTGACTTTTTGTTTCTTTCTTGAAGTCTTATGGAGACATTATATTCCATTTGTTCCATTTGAATTTTTAAGGAATTATTTTTTTCAGTGGATTGTTATATCTCTTTTTTCATTTGGCCAATTCTGCTTTTTCGAGACTTCTCTTCAGTGTGGTTTTCCTCTTTTACCAAACTGTTGAATCTCTTTTCATAATTTATTTTTGCATCACTCATTTCGTTTCCCAGTTTTTCCTCAACTTCTCTCATATGATTTTTAAAATCCTTTTTGAGCTCTTCCAGGAATTCTTACAAGACTTATGGGGCATGTTGTTACTCCTGCCCAAAAGAACAAACCTTTCTACAGCTGTGTTAGGAAAGAAGAATAGGTCACAGAGGCTCTTCACTTACATTAGTGGAGATTTAATCAATCAATCAATGGAATGACCAGTGGCTATGCTCCTTAGCCACTTAAAAATGGCTTCCATAATAAACGCCAATCCTGCAAGTTCCCACCCATTGACTCTTTCCCTTTAATGAGGAAAGAGACAAGGCTCTCTAAGAATGGATGTCCTTGTTAATCCTTTGGTCTTCAAGAGGACCATGACACCAGGAGGACTTGCAAGTGAATGGGACTTAAGTGAGGCAGGGCTTTGCATAATTACCAGCCTCACTTTCTTCTCTGGAGCCATTTGGATCAAGTGGCAAGATGTAGGTCAGAGTGACTGGACATGGCCCTCTTTAGGAGTGGAATGAGCCTTTCCCAAACCATCACCTGACTTCTTCCCTCCATGTCTGGCAGGAATTGCTGGAGACTGGAAAAACCACTTCACAGTAGCTCAAAGTGAAGCCTTTGACAAACTTTTCCAGGAGAGGATGGCAGAGCTGGACCAAAGGCTGTTCCCCTGGGAGCAGTGAGGAGGGGTGAATAACTTGATGTTACCTTTGATTCTACACGGGATAGGTGGCTGCGTAACTTTACCTAATCCTGTATCTAAACCTTAGATTCACTGGGTCAAAGTAGCCATGGCTAAGAGATACTTGGCTATTTCTATTATAACACCAATATTAAGGCTCCCCTTTAGCTTGCTTAAAAATAACTCCCAGACCTAAGGCAAAGACAATGATTTTCTTTCCACTCCCCTGGTCCTTCCCCTGTCTCAAATCATAGAGTACATTAAAGTGATGGAGTGCTAATAGAGCTACCCTCAGCCCCAATATTCTAACTTCCTTATGAGCCCCACTGAATAGCAGTCATGTCCGGATTTGATACCACAATCTGCTTTTAAACACATCACAGGTCCCCCAAATCAATCATGGGCCTCATTGAATAGCAAGCCTGTGCTCCCAGCTAGCAATTGCCCCTAGACTCAATCATCTAGCTAGCCCCTTCCCTCAGATCCAATTAATATATTTCCCACAGAACCAGGTGTGTCTATGGACTCAACCTAGACCACATCATCCATCTTGACCAGACAAGATCACAATACCTAGCCAATCAGAAAGCAGCACTGTTGGGATGTAGTGCAGGATGCTTGACCACCAAACCATAAAAGGGGCCTACCCTAAGATAGCACCTGAGCAGTAATAAAGAATTGACCTATAGTGAACTTGTGATGTTGAGAGTCTTGTTTTAATATCATTTTCATACATACATGCTCCCCCATTTGGGGTTTCTTATATACATTGTCAGTAACTGCATGCACAGTCTCATAGAGGCTGGGACCCCTTCCCCATTACCTAATCCCTTAACAAACACCTCCTCCCCTTTTCATGTTACTTACATTCCTATGTTCTATGTAAATATTGATTGTATTATCAGCATCATATACGCTATAAAATTGTCTGTCTTGCCTTACTGGAGTTGCTAATTCCTCTAATGAACTTTGCATTCACCAGACTGTGAAACCTCAAAACCATAATAAATCTTTCTAACTGGCTTGAAGTCAGCCTGACTCTTTGAAATTCTTTAGAGATGCCCCACTGCAACTCAACTTGCCCCTCATCAAAAGGAGTAGCTGGCAAGATGAGTGAAGACCATGATTAAACTAGAATCAATTTCGGGAGGTCCACACTGCAGGTCTTGATTATTTCTACCTCTTCTCGTTGCCTGTGCTCTGGGTACTTGACACCTGGTGACATGCATGTATGTATGTTGTTGATGTTGCTGTTGAGTGAGTTGAGTTGTGACTGACTTTTTGTAATGTCATTTGGGGTTTTCTTGGCAAAGATACTAATAGTTTGCCATTCCTTTTTCTAGCTAATTTTACAGATGAGGACACTGAGGGCAATACGGTTAAGTGACTTGCCTGGGGTCACATAGATAGTAAGTGTTGGTACACACATTTGAACTCAGGTCTTCCTGACTCCAGACAAAGTGCTACATTCACTGCACTGCCTAGTAGCCCATGTATGCCCTTCATAGAAGAACACTTTTTTTAAACTACTTCCTGCCAAGTTCTGTATTTGAGATTCTCCTGTATATCCCACTGCAGGAGTCAAACTGACAAAATCACATGCTATTGGAACAGGAATAAACCTTTACAGGAGTCATCACAGCTGATTCCTCTTCCACATAACAGCCTTCAGGTGTTTGAAGGAAATGGTAATGATCCTCTGCTCCAAGAATCCATTTTTCTTTGCAAAAATGCCCAGTTTCACAACAGAATCACATGAATGGATTAGCTACCCCAACCCCTTATCTTCTCCCCTTCATGCTCCAAGATGAGTAATGTGTGAAGACTCTCAGCTGGGCTTTTCACAGGAAAAAAGAAGTTGTGAGAGGGGCCACATAGAAGAAGGTAAGGAAAGTAGTGGAGAATGGCGATTACTGGCTGAGATGAGAGAAGTGTGATCATCAGTAGAATGGTGTAAAAAGATAGGAAGGGAGCAAGACTCTGATAGTAAGAGAGGATGATGGGATAAGTGGGGAGAATTTGAGGTGGATAAAGAGAGTAAGAATAGAATGAGAAGCAGAGGGTGGAGGGTTGAAGAGTAAGAATGGGAGCATGCCTGAGGAAAGTCAAAAGGATTATAATATTAATGGCTAGGAAGAGGAGAGAGGAGAAAGATTAGGGTTTAAAAAGTAAGTAAGAATATAAAGAATCATGAAAGAATGGAGAGGAGCAGGGTTACTCAAAAGAAGGGAAAGTATAGGAGAAGAGACAAAAGGTGATGGAGAAGGGAAGGGAGTAAGAATAAGGAGGGGGTTGGATGAACTAAGCATAGTGTATGCAGCAAGGAAAGAAGAGGAATGAAGAGATTAAAGACTTCAAAGAGATGACAAGACTGGGATGCGCATGAACATGGAGGAGATGCTGAAAGGACTACATTTAGAAATAGAAATGAGCATTCAGAGAGGAGTAGAGAGGCTGAGGAAAGGGAGGAGTTGGGGAAGAATGAGGCAAGTGAGAGGTGGGCAGAGAAAAGAGAGGGTCAAAGTGAACACAGCTAGTAGAGGTGTTAAGTGATAGAGGAGAGTGGAGAGAAAGGAGGATGAAGGAAGGAAAAGTGAGGACTAGTAATTCTCGAGGGAGATGGCAAGGAGAAGAGAAATGAAAGTGAGGGTTGTGACAGAATCGAGACAATGGACAGGTCAAGAAAAAGGGGGGAGAGAAAGAATTCAGAATAAGTAGAATGAGGTCATACAAGACATCCTGCAGGATAAGGAAAAGGGAAACACTATAAAGAATTCAATCTATCAATGAAGGTGAAAGAGTGAAGAGAGTGAGGATACTGGTATAATTCTCCTGCTGCTTCCTGCTGATGTGAAAAACCTGCTTTCACTGTAAGGGAAATCTAGCTTCTCTGGCTTTTTGTTCCTTTCCAAAGAGTCTTAGAACTTTTTATGTCCCACATTAGTCATCAATTTCCATCTTAAATGACTGCCTTAGGAGGTAAAAAAGTTCAGTTAAGAAAATAATTCCTTAAAATTAGAATTGGGAGGATGAAACTTTGAGAAGGAATAATACAGAATCCAAACAATGAAAATTAGAAGAAAATGTGAAATAGCTCATTCAAAAGACAACTGACATGGAAAATAGAGGAGAGAATATTTAGGAAGTATTGGACTACCTGAAACCCTTGATGAAAAATAAAAAAAAAAAAGATTAGACACCATGTTCCATTACAATATTGAGGAAAACTATACAATTAGCAGAAAGGTGTGAATGCCCTAGACATGAGTTCATTTTCTGCGCTGACCTCTCCAAGTGCAATTGAGCCATTGAAGGTTCAGACTCCTTCTAAGGGGTGGCATGGTTCCTTGACATCTGAAAGGCTTGCCTTTTAAATATGATTTTACTTCTTGTGAGCTAGAGCTTCAAATAACTTCAAAGAGAACAGATCATTACCTAGTGCTATAAGGTACCAAAAGCATTTCATATGCATTATGTGCTGTTGAGGGCCGATCTTAAGAGTCTGATAAGGGTTTAAGATCCAAGGCAGAGTTTGACCTCTGCTCAGGCTTTCACCCCAAAGGGCTCAGGGATTAAGTGGTACGGCTCCCCAAATTCTTTCCTAATAAAGAGGTCTACGAGACATCCCTTCTCTCTCTTTGAACCTTAGATTTACGTATTTACTCCTCTATGCAGGTGGCGCCTAGGCGCCTGGGAAAACCTTGGAATCTACAGCCCAATCTAGGAACCCTGATAAGGAGGAAATTCATGATTGTTACATCCTCAGCAGATGTTCTGGGGAGTATCTCACGGGGAGGACTCTTTGAAGTTAGGCGAGATCTTCCCTATATATTCTGTGCCCTCAGATGAATAAAGTGAGTCAGTAATTCTACTCCGCCTGGCCCATGTCATAAGTTATTTCAAGCCTCTCTGTTCGGTGTACAATCTGGTTGCGGGCAACACAGTGACTAAAAGTCAGAGGGAGGTCGGTTCCTTGAACACGCTCCGGAGGAAGAAATCCTTGCTGGTCACTACGCCAGGAAACAAGGTCCTGAAGTGGCTCAACGCCGCGGTACTAAGGTAAAAAGGAACGAGGGTCATTACAGGTTTCCCCATAGAAATAATAGGATTAAGAGGGGGAAAATCACCAGGCTTACGTGGGAGATTATAAAAAAAAAAATTGATTAGAAAAAAGTTTAGAAACAGGCTCGGTATTTAGAGCATAAGATATAGTGTCGCTTTGGAAAGGCCCACATATATACTTTCGATCTTAAGAGGCGCCCTTAAGATCAAAAGTATGGGTCAAGTACAAAGTGGAAAAAGAGATAGAGAGTATTACCTAAGATTACTAAAGAAAATAGTGAAAGAAAAAGGTTTAGTTATTCCAAACAGTCAGTTACAGGAATTTTTAGAAGTTATAGAAAAATGCTGCCCATGGTTTCCACCAGAAGGGACAATTGATTTAGAGAAATGGGAGATTGTAGGCAAGCAACTAAGAGAATATTACAGAGAAGAGGGCCCTGGTGCATTCTCGATTGCTACCTTTTTAATGTGGAATGTGCTAAAAATATGTCTTACGCCCCGGATAAAGTACTAGTGGCTGAGAAAGTGATACGGGCAGATAAGGGGGTAGGAACAGATGAGGAAGAAGAAATGCATAAAGCCTTTGAGGAACAATTGAGCATAGTTGAAGAGGAGAGGGAAGATGTGTATTCTGTTATACAACAGAGAAATGTGCATTCCCCTAAGCAACAGAAAGATGTGTATTTACCTTCAGTTAAACAACAGCCTGGGAGAAAGTTAATATGTAAGGGCTTGTTAGAAGAGACAATACAAAGGGCAGAAAGCAGAGGGGAAGAAGTGCCTATGGACTTAAAATTAGCTATCCCAAAAAGCATGATGTTTCCACTATATGAAGAAGAGAATCCAGATAATCCTGGACAGATGATTAGGGAACATAGGAATTTTGAATTCAAAGTTTTAAGAGAATTAAAACAAGCCTCAGTACAATATGGGCCAAACAGTCCCTATGTACAAACTTTATTAGATTCAATAGCTAATACAGCCATGGCCCCATATGATTGGTATTCATTAGCAAAAACATGTTTGGAGCTTATCTAATATGGAAATCAGAATTTATTGAGCAATGCCAAGAGCAGGCAGGATACAATACAAGAACATTGATTCCTGTTTCTTTGGAGCAGCTCACAGGGACAGGAATGTTTACTGCACTGCAGCAACAGCTAGATTATCCACTTGTAGCATATGAACAAATTACGAAGGCTGCACGGGGCATGGTTAAAGGTTCCTGGGAAACAAGATAGGGGAGCCTCGTATACTCAGATAAAGCAAGGCCCCAAGAAACTTTCCCAGATTTTGTAGCCCGACTTACGCAAGCCATACAAAGGAGCATTTCTGATTCAAAAGCAGCTGAAATACTCCTTCAAAAATTGGCCTGTGAAAATGCTAATGCTGATTGTAAAAAAGCCTTACAAGGCGGCAAGTCCAATATGGATATTACAGAAATGATTCAGCGGTGTGAGAGTGTAGGGACCACGCAATTTCAGGTACAGGCTATGGCAGCAGCCCAAGCAGAAATGCTAGCAGCTGCCTTTCCTAACAATCAGAGGGACCTGAGAAGGTTAAAATGTTTTAATTGTGGAAGGCCTGGCCATATAAAAAAGGATTGTAGGGATCTTAGGAAGACACTCTCAGCCCCCTACTACTCCTTGTCCTAGGTGTCAAAGAGGAAATCATTGGGCTTCATTATGTAGATCTACTTCAGATGTTAATGGACAGCCTTTAAACCCCGGAGGGGCCCGCTCCGGCCCCCCAAACAATAGGAGCAGCGCTGTCATTGATTCAACCAGTCCCTGCTCTGCGCCCACAAGACTCACAATATTAGACCTTATTCATGCCACCCCAGGTAGTGCCGGATTAGATTTAAGTTCCACTCTTGATA